AAGAAAAGAAAAGAAAAGAAAAGAAAAGAAAAGAAAAGAAAAGAAAAGAAAAGAAAAGAAAAGAAAAGAAAAGAAAAGAAAAGAAAAGGGACAACTGCATCCTCAGCGTGGTCTCTCAAGGAGCCTTGCCCGTTTAGCACGAGCCGCTGGCCAGTGCTGCCCCCGAGGGCCGCACGTTCCCGCCCCACGCCCGCGTTTGCCCCGACGGGGCTGCCCGGCCCGGGGAGCTCGGGAAGCGCCAGGTCCCTTCGCCCCGCGGCCCCTTCGCCCCCGGCCCCGCTGCGGCGTCGCTCTCCAGACGCCCGCGCTGTGCACACGCGAGCGCGGCAGGCAGCCGCCCGCTGCTGCTCGCACCGCGCAGCCCAAACACACACCGCGCTTAACAGCCAAATAAAACGTCCCGCAGCCTCCTAATGAATTTGTCAAGGAGCGCGGGGTCGCCCCCGCCCCGTTAACGGCGGATGATGAGGCGGATTAGGAGCGGAGCGGGCGCAGCTCCGAGCGCCACCGACACCCGCGCTCCCGTCGGTCGCCCCGCGAGGCGAGGAGCAGAGGGCAGCGCCTCCCGCGCCCACAAACACGGAGGCCGCTGGGGCCTCCGCTCAGAGCCTCCCCGGGAGCGCGTCCCTTTCCCCCGGAGGGAGCGGCCGCCGCCGCCGGGGACTGAGGCGCCCGAGACGCAGCGCGACCGCGGAGACACGCGCTCCGCGTGCGTTATTTGCTGCAAGTGTTTAAGTTTATTGCTCAAATGATGTTTCTAATTAGTGCCCGGGCAATAAATTAAAGTCGGCTTTTGTTTAGCTGATTTATTATTTACCAGAGCTTCAACCCCAAACGGGAAAATTGCTAATGAATCGTTTTAAACCTGAGCACTAGTAACGCTTTAGCATCAGTCACCTTAACGGGGAAGGGGGGTTGGCGGCTTCTCTGCTTTTACCCTTAACACGCGAAGGCGCCTCTGCCCCTCGCGCTGGCTCCCGGGGCCGTCCGCGCCCCGAGGGGCTGTGGGCGGGGAGCGGGAGCGCGGAGCCGGTGCCCGGGCTCCCGGCGGCAGCTCCGCCGGGGCTCCCCGCAGCCCGCGCCGGGACCGGCCGCGCGAACTTGCCAGTGTGCCCACTCTGCCCGCTGTGCCCACCCTGCCCGCTGTGCCCCCGTCCCGGGCGCTGTGGGACGGCGGGGCTTTGTGGCACGCGCTTTTTGGCTNGCGGGCAGGAAGGGGCCGCCGGCAGCGCCGGCCCCCCGGCCTTGCTGCCGGGCGCGCGCCACTGCCGGCACACGGGCATGTTTCTAATTTAAACGCGCGCGGAGCGCAGACGGCGAGAGTCTCTTTATTAAGACGGGCCGGCGGCTGCAGGGAGAGGCGCGAGGCGCCGAGCGGCGGCAGGAGCGCGGCCGGGGAAGGGGCCCGGCCCGGGGCCGCTCCGGGCCAGCGGAACCGCCGCCCCTGCGGCCGCAACTCGCCGGGCCGGTGGTGCCGGCTGCGACACCAGAGCGCGGCTACGGCTTCGCGCGCGCAGCACGGCAGCCCGCGAGCGCCTTCGTGCAAACTCGCACAAACAAAACACAGTTTTGTCCTCCGCGACAAACTCCAAGCGCCGCTGCCGGGAAGACGAGCGTAACTTTGCGGCGCGGGATGCGCCGGCACCAACACGGCAGGCGCGGCGCGCTGCGGGACGCGCGCAACCCTGCGCCCCTCCGGGCGAGGAGGAGGAAGCGGCGGCAGGAGCCGGGCGAGAGCGCGCGCGCCCCCGCCGTGCGCGCGCCCCCGCGGCGCGCGATTGGCCGCGGCGCTGACAGCTCCGCGGCGCCGGTGGGAGGCGCGGGGGGCTCCGCCCGGCCCCGGCCCCATTCATAAAGTAAAGAGGGCGGCGGCGGCGCGCACAGGCGCGGAGCGGCAGCGGCGGCCCCGGCCCGCGGGTGCGCAGCGGGAGGAGGAGCGGCCCCGCGCCCGCGCACCACACCGGCGCGGTTTGTGCAAAGGAAACCACAAAACACCACCAMCAACAACAACCAAATCAAAACAGTCTCTCTAGAGCTGCAGGACAGGAATGAAAGATTGCAGACCAAGTGCACGAGTCCGCGCCTAGAGCGAGCCCCCGAGCCGGGCTCAGACAACGCCTCCAGCAGGAAAAGGGAAATCAGCAACACCCCTGGCAGGCTGAGCGAGCAGCGGCCAAACTCACACGCATCTCTGGCGGTGCCACGGACCGAGCGAGCGAGGCAAAGATACAGACAGGCAGGCAGGCGGGCAGCGCGCACGCCTCYGCCCTGGGCATTTCTCGCATTCTCCTCTCGCCCTGCGTGCGGGTTTAAACTTCGCCGCCGACCAGCTTCTCTGCGAGGGGACCTTCTGCGAGGCCGCGGGAAGTTTGCCTGGGTCGCTACTATTACTGTTATTTTTGGGACTCTGTCTGGCGCTGCTTTCTCCTCTTTTTCTTTCATGACCTACTGAGACGCCTCGGCCGCCGCGCGGGCGGGCGGGCGCCTCGGCGCAGGGGCC